CCTAAACCCTAAACCCTAATCTGTAACCCTAAACCCTAAACCCTATGCGGCACAGGCTTCGACCCCGAAGCTCGTAGCCTTTAAGCCGTGGCTGTCCCAGCTGATTCAGGCAGAGCAGTTTGTGTCGTACCACCTGGGCCACTGGCTCAGACTAGGGCTAGGGCCTCTAGGGTTTAGGGTTTACAGTGAGGGCCTATAGGTTTAGGGTTTAGGGTATTGGCCTATAGGGTTTAGGGTTTAGGGTTAGGGTTTAGGGTTAGGGCGTCTAGAGATGAGGGTCTGTCTTTTTAGGGCTAGTTTGGTTCCAGGCTTCAGGGGTTCGGGTGTAGGATTTTAGGGCTGTTCGGGCTTAGGGTCCAGGGTTCAAGGTTCCGGGCGTAGGATCCAGAGCTCGGATTTTTTCAAAAGTGTTCTTCGAACTTTGCATGGCGGTTTTAGTGGCTGAGGCTGAACCCCAAGGCCTTATAACAGTTAAACTCTATGATTCTCTATCCCCTAAACCCTAAACCCCGGAAGGCCCAGACCCCGAAACGCTTAAACCCCGAAACCCCTGGACCCTAAATGGGTTCAGGGCTTCGCGCGAGACTGCCACAGACGTTTAGAGGGTTCAGCATAAACCATAACGTTCGTGCAGTGGCAAATGGCGTCAATGCACGCCAAGCGGCAGACTGACGTTTTCAGCCTGCTGTTTGCCTCTTTTGCAAAGTCCAAGAGCCTGTGAGTTTCTGCATGCCCTGTCTTTGGAGGCGACGCAGACTATCCATGCAAAGGAAGTCAAGCTCTTGCAAGCTCTGCAGAATGTTCACGAAGGCGAGGTCTACTCAGCGCCTACACAGACCAGGTCAGTCTGCTACAGGTTTGGTACCGGTCCTTCAGGGCCTGCAAAGCCTGCATTCAGATTCCAAGTCGCCGGTAAAGCCTTCCGATTCCAAGTCGGTAGCGCCTGCGTTTGGCGAAGGAGCGCCGTGCCAGTCCCTAGAAGCCGACCTATCGACACATCGCTGGGCTCTCCGAGTTCTGAATGCCGAAACAAATAAATAATTACCTTCTTTGAGGGCCAGATGGATTAGCGCAGCTTAGCAACTTCAAGCAGAAGCACCCCTACCCCAACCCTGAAATCGGAGAGGGCCACAGGCACCAACGCCCCCAAACTCTGAGCGTCACTTAGCCAATGTAGGTAGACAAGTCCCCCCCAAGCCTTCCACACTCTCAATCTGAAGCACCCACATCCCGAACAAGTTCGGACCTCTCTTCCAACGGAATACTATATATGTGTGTGTGTATATATATATGTATGTATATATATATATATGTATATATATGTGCATATATATATATACCTGGAGAACCCTTTGTTACATAAATTCTTGCTCGTGCAAGGTTTCCGCTCGTTTGGCTTTCTGGATTGTGGTTTCGTACGTTTCCAGAAAAAAGCGCTCGATAATTAGAAAAGCGCTCGTGAAGATCGAATGCTCTGATGCCCAGCTGATGTTCATGATGTATGGCATCGAGATCGGGACAGCTGAAATAGCCGCGCTCTCAGCTTTTTTCCTCATGGGCCCGTGAGCTGCACTTTGTAAGCCCCGAGAGCCTTCTGCATGCAACGGTAGGCACAGCTCAGTGCATGCGTCCCGCTTCTCCGTGCCAGTCTTGCCGTTCTTCCGATAAAGTCTTCATCAGACCAACATGCTTGGTCTTAGTTGACACATGCATGCCCGTATGACATGCCATGCAAAACTGTACTCAACAGGTAAGTCAACTCTGCACATAATGCGGCGAAATGGCTGAGAGGATTAAGAGCCTTCTGTCCACATCTCGCAGCTTGTAGAATTGGTATGCTTGGTTTGTCAAGGTATGGATCCCACCAGTACAGAGCAGATCATGAGAACGTACTGTTAAATCATTGCGAGCAAGCAACGTAAAGTGAGCCTGCATATGCAGCTTTGGCCTTATACGGAACAATTTCCAGGTCGTTGTCTCCAGACATCTTCGAGCGAGAAGAATGTATCCAGCCTGAGATGATCGAAATTGGGGTATAATTGATTTCGGCTTGGGCGGTTACTGTGCACGATAATCAACCAGCCAGGGTGCACACATCTCTTCTCCAGCTTCAACAACTTGCATGCTGGTTTCAGGTTCCAACCAGAGCCCTTCCTGATGAAGCAGCCGAAAATATCGGTTAGCACAGCCAACAGCATACTTCAGCATCGCCAGGAGTTCTTCAGAGCAATCCTTGGTTTAGGATTGGGAATTTGGAGTTTCAGGGTTAGGGGGATTTAGCATTGTATACGCGTGTTTAAGGTTTCGCACAGCTGGTCTTTCAGGTTACTTGATAAAGCATGCTTGGGCTCGTTCCTTGACAAAAGGTTCTCCAGCCATGAAGTCAGAATGGCTGTGTCAGCACCTTTGCCACCCGTGGCTGAAGGAAAACTTTGAGACCTTGCGTAGACCGACATAACCATATATGATCAATTACCTTAACATCAAGAAGAGGCGAGTTTCTAATATACTAAACCCACCTATGCTAAATATACATCAAAGGATCTGGCCCACTTTGAAGCCAGACAATGAGAATCCTCGAATGTTTGTAGACTTCTTTGTAGCACTGCACCACTGGATGAAATCAGCATAAGCTTTGACGAGGCGAGCTTGCAAAGACCGCCCAGGAAATAATCCCAGCTGGCGCACCAGAATAACCCCAGAAGCAGCAAAATCCCGGCCACACCTCCAGCGGTTACACCAGCAAACGTGTCTTAAAGGATTACATACAGTACTTGCAATCCCAGCGACCCAATGTGCCACGTATGGGCCGGATCGACCAAAGCACGCTCCGGAGCTCCCAGCCCAGGCACTGCAAGCAGCGGCGACAGACCTTTCTTGAATGGAGTCGGGCCCCCACCAGCAGAGCGCCATGGTGCATCCTTTGCGAGGTTGTACCATTCCTTAGAGAACTGATCCCATGGATGTATCGGAGGGCCTGTGTGTTAGAATAATTTTGCGATCGAAACCATACGATGCATGCAGTCCAGAAACAGTGCTGCTGCACAAGTGACACTTGCGCTTGCATTGCCAGCCAGTATTCAGATTCATCGCCTCAAAACACGTACAGCACGTATTGCCATGCACATGCCTATAGGCATGCAATCATGCATGCAGCACATGACACAACATGGCATTCCCACCTTCCTCAAGTAGACCCAGTCCCCTTTCACCCCCACCACACAAAAGTAGAAGGTGGTCGGTCCCAGAGGTGAGTCCACCTCAGCCCATTCCCGCAGAGCAGATCACACACAATACATAACTGTTGCCTCCCAACCCATCCTATTCTAGTAAACCCAGGCCCTCGGTATTTAAGATAAGTGATCGAATACAAGCTTTAGCATAGCTAGCGTGTTATAAATTGAAGCTAGCAGCAGTAAGACCTTTGTTGTACAACTCACACAGGTCAGCAGCGAAAGCCTCATTGAGCTTTTCCAGAGTGGCATCTTTCCAGTATAGTTCAGCTGGCACGACCGTGTAGAGGAATCGAGTGCAGTAGCTGTGCCTGTGCCGGGCAAAATGGGATTAATTAATGATATAGGGTGTTGTATGTGCACACTTTAGAACTTTAGGGTTTCAGTTGTTTAGGTTTTGGGGAAAGGCGCTTTCACATAAAATATGCGGCTCATATGCTGGATCGAGTGGCCCACTGCTGTTCTTGAACGATATACCATATGCATGGCTGGATACCTTCCACCATAATGGGAAGCTTGTACTTCCCTCGTCCTTCATCACCATGTATGTATAGTGGAACTGTATGAGTCACAGGCGGTGTGTGCCGCCTGCTCATGATATGTGAAGTGTCATATGCCTTGTGCAATAGCCAAAACTCTGAAAGCAAAGCTTGCCATCTTGCAGTATCCATGATATCGATTCCACCTAAGACCAGGTAGCTATGCTCTCGCAGCAGAAACTTCATCCAACTGCTTGGATAGACCACAGGGTAGGCAATGTCCACCTTCTTGAGAACCGGTCGTCTCCGTCGAATTGGAACATTCACAAAGTTGATGCTAACGGGCACTGTCATGTTCTCACGATGTATAAGCCGATGAAGGTTTCGACACGTGTTCGTAGAACTACGACCAGCAGCTGAAAGCTTGTAGAGTAGGTCCAGTTGTCCTAGAGATGTCGCTTAGAAATTCAAAGCTCAAGCCAAGGCCAAAATTAACTAGTGCAGCTTGGCGTCGCACGCCCCCCCCGATCTTGCACATCAGTGTTGCAGTATCCGTTGTCCCTTTGGCAGATTCTGCCTGATCGAACAGCAAGACATGGTGGTGCAAACCCCTGCTGGCTAGTGCAGCTTCGGAACTCCATTGAAGTATTTTGCTAAGATTTCAGCCGCAGCTTCTTGATCGAGGTCGTGATCTTCTTGCTGCCGCGAAGAGCGCTCGCCTTGGAGCAGACTCGAGTTAGGGCATTGGTGATTATTCTAGCTTAAGGATCGACATTAAAACAATTAATCCGAGATTCCATCCACCAAGAGTTGGAGGGCTTCGTCATTGACACCACCAGAACCTGGCATGCAGGAATAGTGTGATATCTTGAACAAACACTCATGGCTGCTCCAGCATGGACAATCTAAAGCAGTGGCAACCCTCATGATTTTTTGCACTCGTGGCCCAGATCTCATAAGGCATCCAATTTGCCCGCATGACCATTAAGGTATGCAAGGGTGTAGCTATTGGAATTAAGGCTTGTGCATGCATGTTCACACACGAAGCAACATCGGTTGGCACATGTGGTGAGGCCTGCAGTGCATGCTATAATAGATCGCATGGCCCATCGTGCCCAACAGCCTCTCGATTAGCCTTATAAAGTATATACATACCATGCATATAATAGCAGGCATGCAGCCACATAGCCACGCAAACAAAACTCAGGTGCGCTTCCTTTTGGCGGCACTTTTTGCAGAAGCAGGTGCGCCCTTCCTCTTCCCGCCAGATTTCGGGGTTGTCTTGGGGGAGGCTTTCTTCGGTGGCGTCTTTGCAAAGGGCCTGGCAAGATTAATGATCGATCTATACCGCAGACTCAATGTACATGCCAGCAGACACATGGTATGCAGGGATCCATGCCTCCATGAGGATTAACAGCTTTTGGGTGTTTTGGTGCTTTAATGCAGGAAATATGCTTCGGACTATTGCTTCGTGCTCACCAGAACAGCACTGCTACACCTAGTCAGTTGCCATCGTGTGCAGCCAGCAGATCAGCTCGAAGGGGGTCTTCAGCAAGAACCTTGGGAAAAGAGGGCACCACCCACTCAACCGAATGAACCCATCATGTGTAGCAGATCTCAGAATGATTGATACAAGGCACGGTCGCTCTGAGCTCATCATTGAATGCATCCATTGTGCTTTGCCACGAGTCAGGAATATGCAAATACTTGTTAGTGTACAAGTACGACCATACCTGAACCATCTCTGCTTCGGCCCACGGGTCCCCCAGCTCCGCACCACAGAATAAATCTTTGTCCGTGGCTCGCTCACTGATGTGCAGCTTCTGCCTCAAGCACAGCCGAGGCGTCGAAGCTGCCTTCTCCTCTTCCCACAGGCTCAAGAGCTTTTTGCCAAAGTTCCGGGTGTAGGCCCTAGGCCCAGGAAAGAGCAGGGATCAAGGAATTATTCTTAGGGGATTCTGGGTGATGGCTGGACAAGAGCAGAGGACTCCAAGAAAGTGTGATGGCAGCAGACATCACTAGTGATATGATTGTTCGTAAGGACCTGGCCCACTCTTCTGTAGCTCCTTCTTAGAGCCCACAAACTTCTTGACGCCATCAGGCGCTTCGTAGCGACCTAAGTTCAGCTAGGTTTGAGGCTAAACGTTTCAAAGCTAGCTGGCTCAAATGGCAATTGATCCCGAGAAGGCCATGCTCGATATAATTAGCCGTAATGTGGTTTGGTAAGGTCCGAGCGTACAGTCTTGAATGATGTCATAGCTTGCATTTGAGAACGACTCATCTGGCCAGCGTCCTCCTGCAGGATCGAGGTAACATGCAATACATCATCGCTCGTGCATGTATATATATGCATTGCATGCAATGCAGACCCACTCCACAAGCCCCAAGCCTGAAGGCCCGCGGTGATGATGGTCGAATTGGACCAGATGCAGGTTGGTTTCGGAGTCGGGGAACCATAGCATTGCTGCCAGAAGCGGCATTTGTAAACCTGGGCTGGACTCAGGTTTGGGTGCAGCTTGAGGAAAGTCGGATTGGCCCGACCTACATATCCCCTGGGTTTTTTCCTTATTGGCTTAGGGGTTTAAGGGTTTGGGGCTTTAGGGTTTAAGGGTTTAGGGGTTTGGGGGTTTGGGGTTGGTGGTTTATAATAGACCTTAAGTTGCTTTGTACGTAATCATACTAGATCGGACACATATATTCTATAGCCTGCAACCGAAGACCTAAACCCTAACCCTAAAACTTAGCTTCGAAGGGGTGTCCAGTTCTGGAGGATGTTGTGAGCTTCTTGTTTTGAGGGTTGCTACAACGGGGCTCAGGGTTATAAGCTTAGGGTCCTAGGACTTATAAGTTGTATAGTTCGAAGTTGAAAGTGTGGGCACACAGGAGGCATGCATGTTAAGGCAATTGCCGGATCCAGCAGAAGCGTGCAATGCATGTGTCGACATGCATACAGCATGCAATCATGCATGTGCATGCAGGACCATGTGTATTGGAGAGTCATGAAAGCCTGATCGATATAATATATACTATACATGCACACCCATGCAATACACATGGTAGGTCTTGCGTGTATACATACGTGTGTGCATGTACACATACCATGCATGCATGCATGCTTAAAATTATAACTGCGGCATGCATGCACATACACCATGAAACTACTTTAGCCTGCGCCTCCGGATCTTGAGCCCAGCAAATTCCTCCTAAAAATCCTGCCCCCGAAGTTCACCCCCATTGTACTTGTATAATGCTAGCATCGACTAAGTAACCCATCCTACTGTTCCCCTCACCAATACTCGGTCGTGCAATATAACCTTAACACCCCCGTGCCCCACAGCCCTGAAACATCGAAGGCTTTATGGCCCATCCAGCTGGGCCCTTCAGTGCCCACTCAGCAGGCCAGGACCTGCTAGTGGCAGAGACTGGTTTCAGGGCGGGTGTAATCCTGACAAGGCACATAGCAGATCTTGTTCGTGAACCATGAAAATCGACGGTTGAAGGGCAAGACTTGCTCACTTCCAAGCGGCTGCTCCAGAATAAATACCCCATGCACTGCCAAGATTAATATCATCAGCAGCACCAGCCTGCTAGATCGGAACCAGAATGGTTGTGCTTACGTTCAAGCTGCAGACACCCTGCCTGGCAATAGTCATGTTGCCGGCATGGACAAAATCCGTAGAAGCACGGCCATCAGGGTTGATTGGGGACCTGTTCGAAGTCCCCCGGCTCACCATGGACCAGCTTGCACAGGGCGGGGCCAAAACATTCATAGAATTAGGAAGCTCCCGCATCACACATGCCATCGCCAGCCTTGGAAGCCATATTGTGATTGCACTGAGACAGCTATACATGTGCAGTGGTATGCATGCATGCTACAAGCTGAGCCCAGAACGCAAACCCTCCCGAAGAAAGGAAGTTCATGGAACGGCCCGTAGGATCATATATGCAGTCGTACGATACATATGATCTGCCTTCCTCACGGAAGGCTTGGCTCACCTTTGCTTCACCGGCGAACAGTTCCAACAGCTCGACTCGCATCCTCAAATCGACATTGGTCGTCCACATAAGTAGCAGGACCTCAGGTAGTGAATGCAGCACTTGAAGGGGCAGACACATCATGCTGCATTGTACACATGCATATATCGATCACTCACGAGAGTTGCAGCTTCGAGGCACATCCGATAAGCACCTCCCAAGGATAATTACAAGTTGTGCACATGACAGCATGCCTGAATGCATTGGGCATGGAAACCAACCCATAGCACCTTTGGGGCCTGGAGTTGCACCAAGTTTGCAACCACTGACTCCCATCTTTGCAAAGGCATGTTCAGCCAGGCTCCCTGGGAGCATATATGCATGCAGCTAGAGCCTGCAGCTACACAGCCCAGGTGTTGCGTGCACACACATGTCCGCATGCAGGCAATCATGATATGCATGCATGCACATGCGATCCTAGAAAGCATCGACATCGATGTGTCCAATAATGACATGCCAGCATCTCTTGCAAAAGCTCTGCAGGCCCACCGCTCCGACTTCGGCATGTGCCCAGAAGACCTGCGCCACGGGGCAAGCTTAACATTGCAACTAGCCTAGACAACGGGCGTATTGCATACATCAGCAACTCGCAGTATTGGGCATGCATCACACAATCTCAAGCTGTTTGCTCACGAGACAGCAAGCTCAGATCGATCGAGTTAAAATTGTTGAACGCCCCACCGCCACCCAGTGTAGATCCTAAGGGTGACAGTCTAAAGCAAATGAGCATACAGTACTCCCAGCACGCTTTTGGCTGCTAGGTTTTGGCAACGAAATCTATTTGCCACATTCCATACTGCATGCGGGCCCCAGCCCCCATTCATCCAAAAGTGCTCAGCACAGTGCTGTCAGCGGGCACAGAAGACGATCTAGTGCGCTTCACGATAAGCCTCAGATTGCACTAGCATATGCAGACAATACAGCTCTAGTGGCTTTAGCACACATGCATGCAAAGTAGCAGTCTTGGCGATCTCAGAGGCTTCCTCTGCTGTCATGCCCGCAGAGAGCGCCTCTTTCTTGGCTCGGTGGTATGCCATACTCTTGCGGCATTTCAAAGAATTATCCTCATCATCCTTTGAGCCAGCCTTTCCCTTGTTCTTTGCCTTGGCCTTTGCTTTTGCTTTGCTTTTCGGAGCACTTTTTGCCTTGCTTTTTGCCGTTGCCTTTCCCTTTGCCTTGGCTTTTGCTTTGGGCTTTGCTTGCTCCTGCTGCTGGCTTCTCTTGGCTGCCGGGCGCTTCATCACAGGCTCATCATCTGCTTCCCTTTCATCATTTTCCTCTTCCTCTTCCTCTGCGAACTCCTCTCCATCAGTTTCCTCATGTTCGTCATCCCCCGCCTGTTCCTGCTCGTCCTCCTCATCCTCCTCATCCATTTTCTCATCCTCATCCTTACTCTTCTTGGCCCTTCCCTTTGGCTTTGGCTGCTGTTGCTCATCAGGGCTCAAGGTAGGCTGCATCTTCAGCATGCAGTCTGGCTTGTCAGGCAAGGAGTTAGGAGCTTCTTCAGCTGGCTCAGGGGGCTTCAGGACGGCGGCCTCGGGAGCTTTGGGCTTGTTCCGGCAGGCCCCTCGCCGCCATCTCCAGGATCCACGCTTCGGGCGTGGGCCCGAGACTGAGACAGGAGGCTCAACACACTTAGTGGCCCCGGGATCCTCAGCTTCAGCCTTTCGGTCTGCTATTGGGCTTGGCTCAGAGGCAACACCTTCGAAGCTAAGTTGCCTTGCCACACCACCATTCTCAAACGAGGGCTGTGCATCATGAGGCCAAGCTTGCGTCTCCATATTGTCAGTCATGGCACCTCTAGATCGAGTCTTAAGGCTCCATGCATCATGAAGACAGAATGTATAAGTAGATCGACAATTGAATGCAACCATGACACCACTGGGCCCAGAGTCAGCAATCACCTCCGGCTTCGCCTGCTTCTCATAAAGCCTTTCACTCTTCCTTTGGGCTAGCTCCTCTCGAAGCTTCTTCAGTCGATCCTGGGCCATCGATGCATGCATAAATCATGTAAGTGACTGCTTGCATGATATGAAAGCTAGCATAAAAATAAGTGCATGCATGTAACCAGTTCACGAAGCTTCTTTGCAAGCTCTGGGTTGCAGCCGCTTTGACCTAAGGCGTCGATGCTGCCGATGCTTCCACAGGCCTGGCGCTTGAACTCGTTGTCACCGAAGGGGGAGACCACATGCACTCTGGACTGCTCGACGAGACCTGAGTAGGGGCAGGGATTTGGAGCACATCCAAACGCGCGATGATAGCTCTAGATAATGCAGATGAAGTGCCTTTGGTCACGGGAAGTGAGCTTTGACTTGATGTGGGAGATAGCTCCGAAGGACCTGCCCAAGAGCCATAACACCAGCTATGTTAGAATGATCGACAGCTATAGTACAAAATAACATCACATGCACGCCTTCTAGACCGACCCTCTTGTGCATGGGGATGGGCAGCTTCTTCTGCTGCCCCTTCACCTCTAGCTGCGGGGACTCCTGCTTAGCCTCTGTGCTGTCTGTCTCCTGCTTAGCCTCTGTGCTTGTCTTTCGGCTGTCTACTGGCGTGGCCTCTGTGCTTGTCTTTCGGTTGTCTACTGGCTCCGGATTGGCCTCTGTGCTTGTCTTTCGGCTGTCTACTGGATCCGGATTGGCCTCAGTGCTTGTCTTTTGGCTGTCCAGTGGTTCCGGCTTAGCCTCAGTGCTTGCCTTTTGGCGTGGCTTGGCCTTCGGGTTTGTCTCATCCTTGTGTTGTGGCTCCTGGCTGCTTGGCTGGTGCTCCTTTGCAAGCTCCTGCATTTGCTTCTTTGTTGGCCGTGGGATGTCCTCTGCTGTAGCTGTATCCACCACTGGCTGCTGCTGCTGCTGCTGCTGCTGCTGCTGCTGCTGCTGCATGCCCTGATGATTTACGTTGTCATTAGCAGCCACCCTGCGAGTCTTGGTAGGACGCTCAGCCACCTCCATCAAGGGCACTGCCGAATCATTTGCGGCCTCAATCATCAACGGCTCATCAAGCTTTGTTTCTTTCATTCCTTTTGTCTCATCAGCAGGTTCCACCATCTCATCTTCTTCCATATGCGCTTCCTCTTCTCCTTCCTCAAAAAACCCATCTGAATCATCATCATCATCATCATCCCCTGCCACAGACCCCTCAGGAATCGGTATGCCGACGCTCTCCATCATCCTCCGGATGATTGCAGACCTTGGACGGTGAGGCCGTCCAATCACACGGTTGAAAAGAGACAGCAGCCTTTTGAGCTGCCAGGCTATAGCTCCTGCTTGCTGACCTTAGTTAGGACACATGCACAACCTGCCACGATGTATGAGCACACATGTCATTGCAATCACATACTGCTCGCAGCTGTAGCTTTAAACCAAGATGCCACTAATAGGAACTTTCATCACATCGGTGTAGAGGGAGTTCACATGAAGTTCCAAGGTGTCCACTCCCACACGTGATCCCAGGTGCAATATGGCAGGCACAAGCAATCTCTCATTCAACTCGAGGGCTGTTCGGTCCACCACACCAGTGGGTGTTGTTTTGACCTTATGAGCACAACTGAACGATGTATAGATCGATGCATGCTCACACTACAGAAAACCAGCCTATTGCAGTCTCGTGACAAACTTGCCTCCTGCAACACGTCGGCGGATCTCCCCATCCTTCTCCCACGCCTTTGCAAGGCCTGTACCCCGATCCTCCATGTCAACCATTGCTTCCCGCGACACCATATTGAAAGCTAGCTAGTATATGTGCATATTAAATCCTACAGTAGCAGCCCTACCATGCACATGTGGGGCCAGCATGCAAAAATCTCTGCACATGTGCATGTTGAGCTGAGAGATTGCAACATGCACACAAGAGACATCCTGCTGCATGCTGCGTGAGTGTGAACACACTTCTGCAAGCATCAAAGCTGGCATGGGAGGGCTCACCGGTGCCACCATCATCAGCCGAAGATCGAAGATGCAGCCTGGCATTATGGTATGCGTGCTGCAGCCCATGCGATCGAGTTAACTAACAGCAGGCCTGCGTGCGCACATCAAGCCATGACCTGCAAGCCAAGGCATGGATGGCACCTATGCTGTGATGCTCATGATGCTGGCTCCCGCCTCCACCATCCCGTGGCATTCGACATCATAGGGCTCACCATGGGCCAAAGGGGGTTCGTAGGTTTAGGTTTTTGGGTTTAGGGTTTAGGGTTTTATTATAGCCTAGGATAAGCTACACTGATTACAGCACATGCCGATTGAGCAGTCGGTGATGAATCATGAAACCTTGAAGCGTTCTAGAGGACTGCTTTGTGCACTGAAGCAAGGAAACGCTCGAAAGAATCAAGAAACGCTCGAAAAGACAATAAACGCCCGAGATGCACGATCATATCCGATCAGTCAGCTAAAACAGAAGAATGACTACAACGATCAAACGAGCAGGAATTAACGCTCGAACGAATCAACAGGTATATATATATATATACATACACACAGACAGACGGGCTGACGGACGGACAGACGGACAGAGACAGACAGAGACAGACAGAGACAGACAGAGACAGACAGAGACAGACAGAGACAGACAGAGACAGACAGAGACTGACAGAGACAGACAGAGACAGACAGAGACAGACAGAGACAGACAGAGACAGGCAGACACAGACAGACACAGACAGACACAGACAGACAGACAGACAGACAGACATACAGACAGACAGGTAGACAGGTCAGACAGATAGATAGAGAGGGAAACAAAGAGAGGAGGGAGGGAGGGATG